GCTACTAATTCCTTCCCCTTGCTGTTTTCCCTTCCAGAAATTCAATACAGAGCCAACACTTCCGTAGCGTAACATCCATGTACTCCCCTTAGGCTCCTCCACTGAGACCAAGTGTGTCAGCTGCTACCAGGGGAGGAAGCACCCATTTCCATCACTATGCGGCAAATTAAGTGACATTCCCTCCCTTCCTCCTCTGATACAATTTGTTTCTTTACCACAATGTTTTACAGTCGTGGACATACCCAGATCTGTAAGAAAGCATCAAGTACTTGAGCTGATAGAGAACTCAGGGACCCTCATGATATGGAGTTAATTATAAAATGACATTTTTCAACAACACTAAAGATAAATATTACCAAGCACACTGCTTCTGAGTTGAGTACAGAAAATAATTTAAAGGAGTCACTTCAACACTTCCTTCTAATTTCATTATGGCCATTCCCAAACTGACTTTGCCCAGGGTGGCAGCATCACCAGGATGCCGCAGAACTGCATGCTGCGTTAAGGAAATAGCTGCTGCAGAAGTTTGCCACCAGAGTCACCCCTTGCATCGAAGTCATCCACTCCTAGAGTCCAAATTCCAGCTGTGCTCAGCCAAATATCATCCACAGAGCTGCAAGTGCCAAAAACCACTCAACCTTTTCTTGTATCTGATCACAATCAACTCGGATTGCAGGAACAGCTTTCAGAGTTGTGAAAACTCATCTACAGCAATTGCTTTGGACTGAAGTGCTTTAGATTATGTATCAAAGCCTGTTAGTCACTCTCCTCAAAAACTAAAGATGAAAAATTAACCTTGGCTGTGATGAAATCTAATAGTCCTTGTGTTAATTACAGCATTATCTGAAAGCTCCAAAGAAGACCAAACCCTTTTTTTTGAAGGAAAGAAGGAAATAATCTGAACAGTTTCTAGCTTAGTTTTTAAAAGGGTACTTTAAAGAAGCTTAACAAAAAAAGGAACTGGGAAAGAAGGATGAAGCTAAGAGAGCATCTGACCCCAAACACTTGCTGTGAGCACAACAGGAAATTTTTTAATTGCTATTTATTTCAACCTGCACCACAACATGTCTCACATTTCTAAGGCAGGAGGAAGGGGCCCAGCTCGAAGAAGGACACAGGGTGGGTAGAAAGAGAGGATGGGCACAGCTGTGATGACCCCAGTAGCAGGACAAGCAGCCTGGCAGCACTCAGCTGTGGGAGTCTGAATAATAAGAAAAGTTCATAATGTCTGTATGGGTTTTGCTGTGTAAAAAAAGCACAGAAGTGACGCAGGAAGGGACTGATGAATGGACAGGCAAAGGTGATCATGTTGATTAAATAAAGAAAATGTGATGACGGAGCAAAATGCAGATGGAAGGAGATTAAAATCCAGTGAGGGACAAGATAAAGCAGGTATAAACAACTCTTTAAGGATTTTTTAATGTGAGACATAGACAAACAAATAAAATGGATCTCTACAGGTATCTGGGATGATGGGTTATACACTTCCCATGGACAGCATCGGGAAGAGGTGTCTGAAAAGGAGCAAAGCCCAGAAACTCACTGGACAGGCAGCCGAATGGAAGAAGGGGAAGAAGCCTCGTTGGGATGCTGGTGGAGGCAGCCTCTGTGGCCTCACAGACAGGGACAGGGCTGGAGGCAGGGACGAGGGAGACAGCTCAGGGGAGCTGTGCCTGCTCAGAAAGGCTGCACGGTGTCTGAGCCGAGAAAAGGGGCTGAAGTAGTGATGGGACAAGGACCTGACACTGTGCAGGAGGGTTTTTGAAAGAGCGGAAGGATGCAATACCTGCAAATAATATGAGTGCATAATTTAAGCAAACTCATGAGTTTTGGGTACTCTGCTATTCAAACATGTCTTAGCTGAGTCAAGTTTAGACACAGCATCCCATTTATCTTGGCACAACCCAAATCCCTAAATTATCTGTCTTTTCAGCCTCCTCAGAGGAACTTTACTTCCAGCTTTGTTAAAACGTGAAGTAGTCAAGGAACTGCTTTGCAAACAAATACCAGCCGAGGCAAAGGCTTAACCCTGCTGCGAGGCACGGTGGGCAGCCGGGTGGGCAGACCTGCCTCTGGCTGCTGCTGCCCTGCAGTGCCCGCTCCCTCTTTCACTCTCACAGTGCTGGTGCAACACATGCACTTCTCAGACACGCTGGAAAGTCCTGAGAGCATGCTAAATGCATAGAGGTTAGCATATCCTACTTGTGTTATTTACTCAATATTGTGGGTTCCCCTCTGCCAGCACACATGTAACCATTCTGGAATAAACAGTGCTAAGTGGAGGGTGATAACCTCAGTCTCTAACGTGGATAGCAAAGGGCACAGTGCTGCTCTCCACACAGTGACCCTGCTTTTTATCACTTTTACGTCACGTGAATGCAAAGGCAGTGAAGTCAGTGGTGTTTCCTGGAATGGCCCCTCTGCTCTTCCCCTCTCCCCTGAGTTTCCTTCCACGCAGCAGCGACTGGCTCATTCCCCTTTGAAAAACTGGGGCAGAAGAAGAAAATGATGACAGGGTGCACATGTTAATAACAGGAAAACACCAGCTGCTAATACACTCTGCAGCAAGAAAATGAGGCAGGGGTTTATTTTTAACGTCCATGTGAGATCTCTTTGCCTTTTAAAGAGCGTCCTGGGGTTGCCCAGGCCCCTTATCTGCTCAGCCTCAGGGAGCCTCAGGATGGCTCTGCTGTCCCTTCAGCTTTGCCCGCCCCTCCTTGCTCAGCCTGGAGCCTGAAAGCTGGAGTGTCCCTCCACCATCTCAGCAAGTGCTGCTTAGTCTGCTAAAGTGATTCACTAAGAAACACACACACTATGGAAACACAGCACATTGCAGTTTGCAAGGAAGAGCCTCACAATGTATTCCAAGATTTGCTTCTATTTCTCTGTGCTCCTGACAGCAGAGAGCTAAAGGTATATTAATTTTATGTATAAAACTAAGAAAGGTTTTTATTTCCTCAATAAAACATCCTTAGTCTAGGAGATCCTATCTAGGAATCCAAAGAATATTTTAATCCTCCAGTTCAAACTGCCACACAAACTGTGATGAAAGGATGCAGCACTGGGAAATAAAGAACTTAATGATCATATTAATCCTTCATCTTCCATTCAGCTTCCTACACCAGTATCCAATTTCCTTTTTAACAGCCAACAATGCTCCTCTATTTCCTTAGGTGATCCCTCAGAATGCGTCCAACTTAAAAGCAACGCTTCTCAGTAACTAAATAAATCCTCAAATTTTTGTTATAGATTATAGAAGAACTCTGACATCTATCTGTAAACAGTGACACTGTGCACCCTAAAAGCACACTTTTTGATTCATCATGAAAGGGCTGGATTGCACAAAGCCTCCACCTTTGGCTTGCTCAAAGTGAACCTGCTCCTGACAGCTACCAAGGTCACAGCTGTGGGACAGGGACACTGGAGCCCACCTCTGAGTGCAACAATGCTTTCTGCATTTCTCTTATGCATCTCTTTATATAGCAGACAAAAAAATGATTTATTTAGATAGCCCTTGATTATTGAAGTTTCAACCATTTAACAACCACATTTTCCCAACCAGAGAAGCTTGCACTAGCTAAACTTGTTATTTTACATGAGAAAAGACAGTCATAGGGACAAATTTTCATAGAATCACCTGGTTGGAAAAGACCTTTGAGATCACCAAGTCCAACTGTACCTATCCACTACTAACCCATATCTCTGAGCACCTCATCTACCCATCTTTTAAATACCTCCAGGGATGGTGACTCAGCCACCTCCCCAGGCAGCCCATTCCAGTGCCTGATAACCCTTTCAGTGAAGAAGTATTTCTTAACATCCAATCTGTACCTCCCTTGGCCCAACTTGAGGCCATTGCCTCTTGTTCTGTCACTAGTTACCTGGGAGAAAAGACACAAACATGCCTCGCTAATACCTCCTTTCAGGTAGTTGTAGACAGTGACAAGGTCTCCCCTCACCCTCCTCTTCTCCAGATAAAAGTATTTTATTTTCAATTTTTGTCAATTTTGCTTTGCTTCAGAAAATTCTGCACTAGTGGTCTGTAGTTACTACACTGAGAGCTGCTGTACTGCACAATTCTTTAAAAAGATCCAAATCAGTGAACCAGTTGTTTTGGATACACTGACACTTGTGAGGATTTAAAGAACTGAAAATTAAATCATAGAATCATAGAATGGTTTGGGTTGGAAGGGACCTTAAAGATCATCTAGTTCCAACTCCCCTGCCATGAGCAGGGACATCTTCCACTAGATCAGGTTGCTCAAAGCCTCATCCAGCCTGGCCTTAAACACTTCCAGGGAGGGGGCATCTACACCTTCATTGGGCAACCTGTTCCAGTGTCTCACCACCCTCACAGTGAAAAACTTCTTCCCAATATCTAATCTAAACCTCCCCTCTTCCAGTTTAAAGCCATTTCCCCTTGTTTTGTCATTAACTGCCCTTATGAAAAGTCCCTCCCCAGCTTTCTTGTAGCCCCTTCAGGTACTGGAAGGCCGCTATAAGATCTCCCCGGAGCCTTCTCTTTTCCAGGCTGAACAGCCCCAACTCTCTCAGCCTGTCCTCATAGGAGAGGTGCTCCAGCCCTCGGATCATCCTGGTGGCCTCCTCTGGACTTGTTCTAGCTGCTCCAGGTCTCTCTTGTGTTGGGGGCTCCAGAACTGGACGCAGTACTCCAGGTGGGGCCTTACGAGAGCAGAGTAGAGGGGGAGAATCACCTCCCTCAACCTGCTGGCCACACTTCTAGTTCAAAGTACCTGAAGGTTTCCCTAGTAATACTTCTGAAAAGGATGTACTAGGTCTGATTTTGCCTTCCTGAGATAAAACTCAAAAGCCCTCAGAAGGAATTATTGTCCCAGGCAAGGTGAGCTAGGCCAGTACCATTTGGGCACAGCTGCAGCAATGTGCCTGGCTGAATAAATAAAATTCAGGTCACCTGCATACATTAGGTCAGAGCTAGATGACCTATGCCTCTATTACTCTACAAATAATAGGGTTATCACCAAAACAATTAGTCTTACCTTATTGTAGTACTGCACCTGGACCGAGTGCCACTGCCCGTCGCTGACCCCTCCCGGAACAAAGGGTGCCACTGTAGTGGTTGTCTCCCCTGCAAGGGCAGGCAGAAGGGAAAAAATAAGTCAACATGACTGCAAACTCTGCTCTGCACTAAACCAGAACACAGAGAGACCCTCATCTGGCATAGGATGCAGCCATCTTACCTTATCATGGAGGAATTTGGGGTTTTGTCCTGTGAGACAGTAAATGCTCCCAGTTTCATGGAATTATTTTGGTGCACAAATACAAAAACAGTTTCTGGCACATTCAGGTGAATTATGTTATTTTTTTATTATGCTTCTGCAGAGTGCAATAGCAGATGCATTGAGTAGATACAGCTATTGCTGAAGTGGTCAACGGAGGAGAAAATGTACATGATTTTTTCTGCGTTTCTGCCAAAAGCAGCATTTTGAGGTTTTTTTTACTATGATGAGTATCATGCTGGGATACTTTGTCAGGGAAGGAAAGCCAGCTCCCCGTTACAGCTAAGAAAGTGAAATCCAAAAGTACTCTGGTATAAAACCCATGGATGGTAACCCTGGCCCCAGCAAAATTTTACCAGTGATTAATGAATTTATTGGCAGCCTTTCAGTATTTAAATTTGAAAGCAAGTCCTTGCCATTGCAACTGGAAAGCTGAAGCTTTTAAATCAGGTCTGAGTCAGCAGAACCAGCTCAGTAACCAGGCATATCTGTTCCGAGGTAGCAGCAAAATAAACATTCATGTTGAAAGCACATAAAAGGCCTGGCACAGAGAAGGATTGCTAGGTTTCGACTTTTTTTTTTTTCTTTCTCTTTCTTTGGGTTTTTTTTGTTTTGGTTTTGCTTTTGGGTTTGTTGGGTTTTTTTTAACAGTTGGAAAATTCTACATAATAAACCACAGGAAAAAGGAAAAATAACACCCTCCTTTAAGCTAACAAAGTTCACAGTAATGTTGAGCTTAAAATGTACTTTCTACTCTCTATCTGCAACAAATCCTTTACCCTGTGTGAAGTATTATGCCCGTGTCCCCTACTATCTTTTAACTCCCATCCTATATACTTCTGTTATTTAAACAATACAGATTTCAGCTTAGCACATCTGACATCTTGATGTGATGTTTTTTAACATTTAATGATAAAAAAATCTATGGTAAAAATTAATTTTTTTATTCAGCTAGCAAGTTTCTGCAAAAGGAAGATTAACGCCTCCAATACTTTTGCTTTGCTTACTGTGAAAATGTTTTTGTGACAGACAAAACAATCAGATCAGATGTCCAAAGTTTGTACTGTTCATTAAAAGACACTTAAATCTATAAGCCATAAACCATTCTCCTTCCAAAGAAAATAACATTTGCAATATACAGGACCAGACCTGCTCTCAGGTGCAGCAGTGCAAATCTAAATTTAGTTTCATGTATTTTAAAAGAGTTCCTTCACATTTAAATGCATATAAGTACAAGTAGAATTTATTTTTTCTCATTCATCCCCAGGGTGCCTTCTGAGCATTTTGATTCAAGTTCAGACAGGTGGAGCAGACCTAAAGAAGAAAGCACATCTCTCCAACTGCAGCACGTTACTTCATTACACTAATCCATTCAAAAGCTTGCCTTAAAATCTAATTTGGACATCTTCAAGGTAATAAAGGGGAAATGAAACCAGATATCTTCAACGTAAAGGGCCTACATATGCACTTAAGCATTGCTGCTAAATCGATGGGGTCACATAGGATTTACTGTGGAGGTTGATGACAGCGACCATCAGTGACCATGAGTGTGTAACACCAATGTGGACTGTGCCTCTGCTTCTACTGCTTTACTGCTTGCAATGTCTCACTTTTCAGAAAAATAAGGTAAGAGTTGACTAGAGCCCACATGTCTATCCTGAATATGGATAAAAGCAAATAACAGGATTATTTCCTGAGTTATGTGTCTGGTACAGAGGTACAAACATCTCACTTGACCTACATGTAACCCCACTTGACCTACATGACAACAGCCCTTCCCAGGTATTTGTTTCTATCCTGATGAAAAACATCCCTAAACCTGTGACAACAGGTTGTCTGCCCTGCTGAGATTTAGTAAACCCACCAAGGCCTTCCCACTGACCTCACAGAACTGCTCTTAGGCTGAAGCAGGAACACAAGTGGTCCACCAAGAGGGACTCCAAGGGGCTTAGCAAGCCTGCTGAAGTCCAGGAGGTGATTCCTGGTGGCTTCAACATGCTTCAACCACACTGCACAGCTGTGTGCCAACAGCTTCACCTGCTACCCCTGTCACAGTAATTATCACCGCTGGGTATGAGTTTTTGGATGAAAATTGGACTTCTTTAACTTGGGCAACACCCCTCAGCTGAGACTGGAACCAGTCAGGTTTTGTTCTGATCACACTCTTGTCAGGAAGAGCTTTGCCACTGCCAGGGCTGATTTTCTGGAGGAAACCTCTCCACTCAGAGAAGGCCATGGCGGCAGGGATATATGCTGCCCAGAGCTTTACTTGCCTTCCCCCTTCTCTGCTCCCACAAGCATAAAAGACGCTGGCTTTGTCCTAGCGCAGAAAGCAAGCAAGTGCCAAAGCCTCCATTTCTGGTTTCCTTGCCCACTGTAGCAATGAGCAGGCAGCTTAGTTCCCCTAAATTCCTTGTGAGTTACAGATTCTTCAAGGAGAGGTGCTTCTACTGCGCAGCAGCAGATCCCAGCGACGGCATTGCTCCTCACCAGTCCCTGACAAACGGCAGGCAGTTTTCACTTGTCTCCTAGCTTTTCCTTTGGCTAACGTGTATTTTTTTAGATAACATTTAGGCACCTAGTTTCACTGATGGTGTAGTGTAAAAAACATATAAACACATGATATTTAAGCAAACAAATCTCATTTAAGCAAACATTGGCTTGGAGGCCAGTTTTCAGGCTAGTGCCAATCTTTTATAGTAGTCATAAACTCCAGCTTTTATAATTGATAATGTTGACAAGCTGCTGCCTATGAGAGCGAGCGTTACCACCACAAACCGCTACAATCTGGAGTGCTTTGTAACACCCTGCATCAGTTGTTTACGGTACAATGTCAGCCAGTTACTCAATTAACAAGGCAGCAAATAGTAATATAAAATCATTATAGTGTATTTCCAAATGGCTTGAGAGGATCTCCTGACCACAAGCAGAAATGTTCAACTTGAGTGATGCCTCACCTGCAGAGAATGTGAGCTGGATCTGCTCCTCGATGATCTCCAAGGCAATGAAGTCGTGCTTCTCATTAAAACGGCCATTGTAGAGGAGGAGAGCGTTCCTCTCCCTAGTTGCAAACCTAGAATGCAGAGACGAGGGGTTAGTTCATACTTAAAGGCTTATGAATTAAAGACTGACGGTCAAGGGGCCCAGAAGAAAGGCAGCATTATAGTTAGCAGAAAAGCAAGCCTTTGCATCTTTCTTCCAACAGAAAACTATAAAACTGAGCCAGCAGCAGGATTCTTGCACAATCGTCAGGGGCAAGCAAGGTGGAAATTACAGAAATCTACTCCTCAGGGATCTGCTGCGGATGTTGACCCTCACAAAGGGTAAAATTAGGTAGACCCACGATGTAGTGTGAGTACCTGACGCATGCCAAACAGTAGCGCTCGCTACACTTTGCACAGTCTGAAAGCTGGAAAGCATTTTCACATCAAAGAGGGGATACTGGCTGCCCACTTGCTGTCTGAATGCTACAGCGTACAAGGAGAGGCATCAACTGATTAAAAAGACCTGATGGGGGGCACAGGGAAAAGAAAGATAAGAGTTACTTTTATAGTGCCATGTAGACAATCAGGGTTCATCAATCAACAGGTCAGTTAATCGGAGGAAGGAAAATAAACACTTAAATGATTCCACTAAGTCAGTGCCAATGGGTGTTTTTTCGTTTTATTTTTCTTGTACTTCTAATATGGGATGTATCACACTTTGCCTGCAGAAAAAGAGGCAATCTCACTTTTAAAAAAGCCTGGGGCTCTCTTGTCAGCACAGAACTTTTTTTGCAAATTTCTGTGCCTTGTGTGCATTTTATAATTTTAATTAAATTCTATTCAATTTATTACACTTTACATAAACGTTTTTACAAATATTAATATTATATAACGAAAGAAAGAGAGAGAAACCATGGGAATTTCTTGTATTTCCAAATGGCAGTGTAGCTTGATTTTGTGTCTTGAACTTCAGGAAATACGCCTGATTTAAATTAACCCACTTTTCCTACAAATGAATCAAATGCTGAACACAGATAATGAAAACTGCCTTTCATGAACAGCAGAAATGATTCGTGTGCCTGTCATGTCACGTCTACTAGCAAGACTCTCATGCAATGCAACAAAACCTGCATTCAGAGAATGTGAAAGAAGCAGTATTTTAGAACATCAAGGTCTGGTATTTGAAATAAAAAAAATCAAAACCAATTAATATTTTTTACTAGAAGTTGTTTGTCAGACATACATATGTTGTGGATCACATTGACTAGAGACCTTTCAGAACCAGGAGCCTGAAGTTGAGCCACATGGAATTGGGAATTTTTATTCAATACATTTTTAAATATTTTTGAAAGACAATGAATTGTTCTGGTTCAAAACACAGAAGTCAAAATTCTGACATTTCCAATAAAATATAAACTCCAAAGAATATCTGTTATAGTTCATAAAAATATTACTGTTTTGATTACTTTTAATCAGTTTTGAAATATATCTTTATTTCTAAATTTATTTCACATAATATATAATAATATTATAGAACCAAAATGTAAACTAAATTAAGACAATACCACTGAAATATTTAGATATTGTCCAAATATTGATTTAGTTTTCACTTCTCACCATCAAACATTTCATCCAAAGGAATACAGTTCCTGTAAAACATTTCCCAAGACACTATTTTTCAGTGGATAACTGTTTCATCAAAACATCTGGTCTATCCAGAATATATATGAGTAAAAGAAATGAGAATAATATGAGTGATGCTTCTTTAGTGGGTGAAAGATTTTGTTTGATTAGCAACAACAGGAACCTTAGTTCTGTTTGAATATATTTTTCTGATATGGTTTCAATTCTCTACCATCATTTTAATTATTAAACTATTATTTATTAAAACATTAAATTGTTAAGCTATTTGTTGTATTTCTTTATTCCATGTGTGCTCAGTTCCATTCCACTAGTCAACAGTATTTTCTGTATCATACTAAAAGTTAAAGCACTACTGCTTTTGAACTTGTCTGGTTATCACCAGCTGGAGGAAAAAAATTACTGTTTTTTAATAGAAGGGATATTTTTAATCTCAGGATGTAGGAAACAAAATACACTTTCTTAGAGCACTTTGAATACAGAGTGAGAAAATATCTCCACTGTCAGTGTCCCTTGGCATGAAGGAGTAGCAAGTGTTGGAAGGAAGCAAGGAAGACTTACAATGTTGGGAGCAGAAAGCCACGCCTGGTCAGTAACCTAAATATTTCTTTAAAAAAAATCACATTTTAGTTATGAGACTAGACAATGCGCCCATCCTGCTTTTTGCCAGGAGCAGGTCATGAGTCAATTGAGGCTGAGGGAAGCTGGACACCTGGGGATTTTACGAATGCTCCCAAATCACAAAATATGTAATGGCAAATCATCATCTAGTCAAACTGCTAATTCTTGCGTTTCTTCACATAACGTTTTCCACCTGAACTGAAGGACAATAAAAGCCAAAGAAATAACAAGTGTAAATAAAAGTTAACTTTAGGTCTGAAAAACTAAACGTGTCGTTAGACAGTGTGGGATGAACCCCATGATGGTCCAGACTTGTTATAATCACACTCAGTGGACTGAGCAGTGGTTAGCTCATGACTAAATAGGCCATCTTGGTTTTGAAGATGGTGAAGAAACCCTAGTGTAAGCACCACACACAGTATTTGAGTCACTTTAACTTGAAACACTCTACAGTCAAAGATCTCTTCCTGAAAGCCTGAAAAATGACACCACATGGCTGTGGGGACAAGCCAAGGGTAGTGCAGGTAATTTATGCTGGCAGCCAGCCCAGACTGCTCCTTTGTTTGCACTCACTGTAGGTCTGACAAGTCCAACAGAGCCTTTTGCTCCTCAGCTTTTCTGCATACTTAGATCTGATGCTCTAAAACGATCTTCACAGGTACACCTCTTCCTTGCCTCGACTCGCATGCAAACCATGCCTGTGCTTTCTGATTTAACCAAAATGTCAAGATTCCATAATAATTCAGACCTTGGGATTAAGGCAGACAAAAGATCAAATGGAAAGAAGCTGCCTGGCTTGTGACAGACAAACCACCAGGTACCTGCTGGGTGCTGGATGGGACGTGTGCCTGGTGGTGTCCTCGCTGAGCACTTTCTCTGGGCAGAGACACAAACACGTCTGTCATTGTGGCTGCTGTTGTACCTATCAACAAACCCCAGCCTCGCCCTTTGGGGTTGGGGCTAACACATTTTGTGCTATTTACTCACAGTCAACTGTGAGGGAGAACCAAAGGTCAATCCTGACCAGCTAAACCACGGGAAAGCTGCAGACCCACCCCCTCTCCGGAGAAGAGGCATGTGTGCACCTGGAGCTCTGGCTCCACAACAGGCAAGCCCTATACTTGACCCAATAAGTCTTCTCCAGAAGAGGGTTTTTTTCCCTCCACAATGGTAACCCAGGGGAGGAGAGCCCTGGTCCATGCAGTGTGGCTGCCACCATCACTCCCCTCACCTCCCTGAGTGCCCCCACAGGAAAAGTGACAGCCAGCCCAGGAGAAGACTGTGCAACATGGGGATGTTGGGGCAGATGGGATGGGGATGAGGCCAGTCATGCCTGGCAGCTGGGATAGGACCAGAAGCAGGAGCTGGGTATGAAGGCCAAGAGGAGTGAGGCGAGGAGCTGGGACAGTTGGGGTTGTCCCAAGCCCAAGGCTGGAAACCAGGGGAGAGCAAGGACCTGAGGAGCACCAGCCTGAGTTCAGCCATGGCCTGATGAGGCTGGGTCCTCTCACAGGCTGGGAAACAGGAGAGGGGAAGAGCTCTCCCAAACGAGCAGCACAAATGGGTCAGCTCTGCAGTCAGTCCGAAAATCAGGAGGCAGCAGGCGCAACTAGAAAAAGAGGGAAACCCACCACCCACCCTCGCACCTCTCTGGCCCGGGGTTGCTGCGAGGTGGCTAGAGAGGGCCTGGTGTCCCCTCTCCCCATGCCACCACCCTGCGCTGCAGCAGAGGAAGGTTGGGAGTTAGCACTTCAGCAGGGCAGAAATCAACGTCTCTCAAACAACACGACTGTGTCTCACTCACAGGAGTCACTGTCAGAAAAGCCCACCGTGACCTCTACCTGTAGGTAATTCAGTTGGTGACAGTATGTAACAGACATGCCCCCAGCTCAAGCAGAAAAGCCACCAGCCACAGAGCCCTTCCCCACCAGGACTTACATGAGGGAGACTGTGAAGTGGAAGCGCTGCCGCAGCCCCTTGAAGGTGATGAAGGACTGTGGGGGGAAGCTCCTGGTGGTCATCTCGCAGTAGGGTCGCTCGTATTCGCCTGCGGGACACTCGCACTTGAAGCCCCCGATGAGCAGGTTCACGCAGGTTCCTCCGTTCTTACACAACCCCGGAGCACAGCGTCCAGAGCGGGCGTTCACCTCGCAGTACTCTCCTGCAAGGGGAGCAGCAGATGTCAGGGAAGGTGACACCTCACCCCAGCAGCGAGCTGTGATGCTCAGCTACCCAAGTGTTTCTGCTAAAGGTTAAGCTGCTTCCAAACTTCTGCACCTGACCCCCTCCGCAACTGAGGTACGAGCCTGCAATTGCAGGGGGGTAAGGATGCTGCACTGTCTTTCAAGTTTGAATTTTCAGGGGGGTGTGGGATATGATTGCTGAGCAATCTCCTCACAAAATATCCAACAGCATTGGCCTTGGTTTTCAGATTCCTTGTCTGCTTCCAGACCCAGTGATAAATATAAAGCTGGTGACAGACGGATCTATATGGGAGGCAACGCTACCAGTTAACAACTTGCATGCTCCCTGTCAACCAAAATATGTGTAAATTGTTCCGGCGTTTCACTATGGGTTGGAAATTGTGTAAACAGATAAGTGTTTGCGCTTCACCTCGAGTGGAATTTGGCTTTGCTGCTCATGGCAGCAGCAGGGCAGGGCTGAGCTCAGGACAACGCTCACAGAATGTTTATAGAAAGAATAAGCAGGATGCTGATGACATATGTATTGCTTCCACCTTTTCCCATGTATCCTGCAGGTGACAACTATTTTCTGAACCCTTTGGAGATGAGTGTAGTAACTCTTCACAGAAGTTATGGATTCTGCCTACTGCTCGCTAAAGCTGTTTTCCCCACAAATACTTTGTCTTTATTCAACTCAGAAGCCTGTATTAAGGTGTGTTAAATGCAACGCTAAAGAATGAGGTGTCTTGCTTTGTATGTACACCATAATTTTTCCTGCGTTTGCCTAAAATCTGAGGGTGAATTTAAAAAAATAACGTACAGAAGATATTAACTTTAAAAATCTGCTGTGGTTGGGACAATAGCAGCTGCTGAATTAATCATTGTACAGAAAGCTAAGCCCTCTATGTGAGTTAATTAGTTAACATTTATGTCTTGGCATGTGTCTTCCTAAGGTATGAAGCGTGTTCAGATCCCACACCTAAAACTATTCAGAGAAACTGAAGATGGCATATATAGTTGAATTTTACCCAGTAACAATGTCTGACAAATAAACGTAGAGCAAAACTACTCAACACAGCCAGCTGAAGGAATGAATACATCTGAAACAGTTTGATATTTGCATGATTACTCGCTGCTAGATTATACAATTACATTAATTCAAGCACAGTTAAAATCATGCGAATACGTTCCTGGAGGAAAGTAAAAGCAGCAGGAGCTGTGGGTAGTGACTCACAAACAAAGGCAAATTAAACCAGAAAGTTTTGCTCCAGTCACTGCCCCCACAGCCCTGCTCCCACAGGTTCCCATGCCACAGCCTCCCGTGCTGGGTGGCTGGCTGCAGCCGCCAGTATGGTCACATCCAGACCTGGAGCTGCATCTCTTTTCTGTGCCAGGCTGGCATCTGCAATAGTTTGTAGCTGGTTTAGCCACTGCCCCAGGGGTAGTGTTCTCTGAGACAAGGTGAGGTGGACAGCCCGGCTGTTTCAGGTTTCCAGTTTTGCTGTCTTTTGCCTCTTGCATCAACATCATATGTCTTTCGGGCAAGTATGATGTACACTGTCAAAATGCAGAGGCAAACACAAGAGTGCCGTGATCAGGCCGTCAGCCAAATGCATGTCCCATCCAGGTGGGCTCAGCTCCAGAGGACTGAGCTCTGGTCCCGCTCTGTGCTCCCCATGACAAGCAGAGCCATTGTACAACTACCTCCCAACAAGCACGTTTGTGGGTACCTCCTGGTGAACAATACACTGAGGTATTTCAGTGTATTTAAAAAGGATGCAATACAAAGAACAGGGAAGCTGAACACATCTCTATAATAATAATTCTCATAGTTAACAAATTATGAAATAAACCTTTCCTGTCATCCTAGAGGGAGTGCAAGTCAAAACCTCTGAGGTAATAAACCATACAGCCAAGAGTTCAACTCCAGGCTTGTGCTTAGAGCTTTTCAGATTCAGCACGGATATTTCTATTTTCTCATTTTAACATGTTAAGATGAAATGCTGTGAAAGCAATTTGATAAATATCTTTCTGTTTCCATTTATTAACTGTGAGTATCAGGTAAGATTATGTGAATACACCTTCCCTGATACATTAAAATGCTCTACAGCGCGTTTCTTTTGGGAGAAATTGTATATATCGTCCAATACAGAAAATTCCCTCAGTGAACTGGATATGCCAAACAAAGCACAAACACACCTCAGATGCTCTAAGAGGACGCTACAGAAACCTCTGCTTGATGATCCACTGCATAAGCACAGCCAATCCCCCTTAACACACACACAGCTCCCAAAAAACTGGAAAAGCACAATTCCTATAGAAAGACTAAATACGTTTGTTGCTTTAAAAAGTAGTAGGAGATTTTGTGAAATGACTCTCCAACTCAGAGAGGAATGTAATCGTCAAGGCTTTATGAAAACAGAATGATATATTTGGCAAAAGCAAATAACGTGCAGGCTTGAATACACAGGGAGAAAAAGGAGCAAGCTAAAAGGAGAGATTCCTGGCACTGTAGCATGCTGTGGAAACACCATGGTAATACGGAGGCGAAATATAAAAGCCTAAGCTGGAAGTCATTGATGGTTCCATACTAATACTGTAATATAACAAGAATTTATAGACCATTTGTTTAGCTACCTATGGAGGTATAAAGCTATTTCAGAGAAAAGAAAGCTTACAGAAAAGTTCTACTGAATTATGTTTATTACTGCTTTTTATTATGATGATTAAAGAAGTGGTTTAAAAAAAATGTAGTTCAACTTTGAATAAGATCCTTTGTCCTATATTCATTCAGCTGTAGCATCATTGATGTCCCAGTTCTGAATTCTCTTTAGTCTGTAATGTAAATGAGAAATGCATTTGATACATACTCTTTGATGTTGTATTTTCATATTTTATGTATATTTACCAAAGTATATTAAAATGGTACTTTTTAAATCTCTACAGTAACTCCAAGACATCACTGTGCTTCAAGGCACAAAGGTCTAGCAAGAAATGTGACAAATCCCTATTTACCCATTTTTTCCAAAGGTAAAAAAAAGTGCCTGAAATTATTTCGAAACATGGCATTTTTTTGCTTTAAGAAGCAGCCACCTGAACAAGTATTCAAAGCAGGGCTTTGACCAGGAGCACCTAACCCCTTTTGGCCACACAACGCACTTTTGTGTGGCTCTGGGGTTTGTCATTTCCAAGGGCAGCCACCTCATCCCAGACGCATTGCCGTCCCACAGCACTGCCCTGCGGGAGCTTTGAGACACGGCCTGAAAAGCATCCTCCAAATTTGAACTGAAGCCTGCATGGACTTGAAGGATGGGCTGGTGGCTGGCTGGAGCCGGTAGTCGGAAAGGCCTAAGGGAAGAGCTACTTGAGGAGCTGAAAAGGAAGAGATCCGCATCCGCCGGCCTTCGGGATGAAAAGCGCCTGTGTGCCTGCTCACAGCTGAAGGTCGGAGGGCTGAGATGCGCTACTGGAGGGGATGTCTCACAGCCTGGTGGGAAAAAATAGTACAGAAAGGAGGGAGAGCTGCTGTGCAGCGAGGGTCTGGAGGGGCTTGGGTGATAAGAGGACAGCCCAGATATCTGCCGCACACAGCCTGGGGTCAGTCTGCAATGCCAGCGATGCCAGCATGGCTCACCCCCTCACCCAGCCTGCGAAACTCGCCTTCGCTCCTTGTGGCATTCCCTTTGCTAATATAATTCAATTTTTCGCACAGGCCAGCATTTTAGGAATCAGTTAAACTAGTTATATATCACAGCCCTGTGAAATCCAAGCAGGAGATGTGAAGCTTAGTCCCTCCAGCTGCTAAATCTAAAGCATGCACTGTCAGATAACACAGGCCATGGCTGCCTGTTATCTGCTGGGAGATTCCTGGGCTTTGAAAAAATTCTGGCCCAAGCCAGCAAACAGTGTACAGGATGGTAGCTGATCTTACATGCTCTCAATTAATATTGATTGCTTTTAAAGCTACAAGTCCTGCGGCTTTTACACAGCCCTTTAGGTAATGCTTCCCAGTTTTAAAGCCCTTGAGATCACAACATGATAGTTGCTTTCGACACTTTCCTACTCTCAACCATCATGTATTTCTTTTTCAGTTTTAGGACTAACTTTACAAAGATATTAATAAAAAAAATTCACCTATTAATTTTATGTAAGTAAGGACACCCCGATATCAGATGTAACACAACAAGAACAAGCAAAGCAAAAGACTGGCTAGAAGATTTGATCTTCCTCTGACCTGTTCCAAATAAAGTAATGTAAAAGTTTCATGAATAAATGAAGATTTAAAAAGTGAAAAGAAATACAAATAAGCCATTTGAAAAATGAAAATATAATCTCACAATTGCCAATACCATATGAGTTGCACATTATGGGTTTCAACCAGCACACTGGCATGCATCTATGAGCTGGTCTTTACAGAAATCTGCCTGTGGTTTTGTTGGTGAGTTGCTTGACCTTGCAATGACAGACAATGTATAATGTTGGAAGGCTTACTATACACAACACGATGGCATTGGAATACATACAGAATTACTCTACACTTGAGTTTACTGCAACGTGTTTCTACAATATCCCTGTTTAGCGACTAGCTTGCAAAAATTTGTACTATTCGCTGATTGTTTTCAACTGAAATACTACATTAAATATATATATATATATATATGTATTTACATGAAGCAGCAGACCTGCACTGATATTTCTTCTTTTTTTCCAGTTTCCCTAGACACATGTTAATTTTTCACTCGGCATCTGTAATTGTTTGACTTGAACTAGTTCTTTTCTCCTTTCCTCCATTCTGCCATTTGCTCTAGATACATATTAATCTTGTTCTCCATGTTTGCAGTTGCTTCAGCAGAATGGAAAGCATTCTGAGAAGCTGATTTAAGCAGCCAATCTAAAATTATGTACTTTAAAGTGGAAAGGAGAAACAGCAAGAAATAGGGCAACTAGATTCTTCAAAGAATTCCCATTGACCCACTGC